AGATCATTTATTCTCTTTTCTTATGGATGTTCCAAAAATAAGAAAATTTTGGGGGGTGATGGATATATTCATTAGCTTGATTGTTTCATGGGTATATTTAGCAAATGCACTCTAAATTATTGTATGCTGAGCCCTAGTCAGTGTGTCTCAGTGATAGGAGTGTGGTACTGTACAGCAAACGGTCATCATAAGGCCTTAGCTGGTTTGGTTCAATGGATAGAGCATCAGCCTGTGGACTGAAGGGTCCCGGGTTTGATTCCGGTCAAGGGCACATGCCCAAGTCATGGGCTCAATCCCCAGCAGGAGGTGTGCAAGAGGCAGCTGATCAATGATTCTCTCTCATCATTTGTTTCTATCTCTCTCTCCTTCTCCCTTCCTCTCTGAAATCAATTTTTTAAAAAGAAATCAAAGAAAAAGAAAATCATAAGGAAAAGAAAATAGTTATAATATTTATTGAATAAAGTTCACTTATATACAAGGATCTAGTTCAAACCTGTGTTGTTCAAGGGTAAAATGTACATTAGCAATTGTGGATTTGATTAATATAAAATAATCACCAAGTAGAAGCTGGTCTTCTGGGGAAGCCTCTAAAGCTGAACTTTTGAACGCCACCTGAGAAGAACAACCCCTGAACCTAACAGAGTCATGGCACACTATGGTGCTTGCCCTGAGCAGCGAGTTGGCCTCCCCATACAGACACTCCTAGCTCATCATTATTCCAAGTTGCTCAAACCCACTTCCCAGGCCTCACTCAGGATTCAGGCCCTATAACCCGTCTCACCAAAAACTCAAAAATAAAAGTAAAAAAAACCCAAAACTCTTTTTCCCAAATACAATGCATTTCACTCTCCCCTAGCTTCAGACGACCTATAAAAATACCAACGGCATATTTCACAGACCTAGAACAAACTCTCCAAAAATTTATATGGAATAAAAAAAAGACCCTGAGTAGCTGAAGCAATTTTTAAGAAAGAAGAACAAAGTTGAAGGGATCACAATACCAGATATCAAGCTGTATTACAAAGCCACTATTCTCAGAACCACCTGGTAGTGGCACAAGAACAGACA